TATACTCGGTAGCGGTTACTAAACCATAACCGGCAATCAATGCCAACTCATCCCTATCGTTATGTTGGTTAGCCATTGGCAAACAAATACCGTTTAGTGTCCGATATGGATGTAGTAGTGGTTGTCCAACGTTTGAATCGATAAGCGGTAAGTCAGCTGTCAGTTTAATCAGTGCCAAATCGGTAGCCGGGTGCTGATTAGATTCATAATAAGGTTGGATAACTGTTTTTTCAACATCATAACCATCATCATTATGTCCATCCATATTGATAAACAATTTGCCCGGGTAGATTTTTATATCACTAACCAAAATTTGACTACTTTTGTAGCTAATATACAGTATATACAATATTTATTATATATATGTAAAAAAAAAATTAAATTAAATAAAACACTATTATTATAATTCAAACAATAATTAATACATTTTTTTTTAATTATAAATATTTTTTAAATATTTAAATTATTATATAATATATTCTATATATATATATATATATATATATATATATATATAATGTAAATAATGTTATTATATTTACTATAATATATGAGCGGCAGTTAATATCCAGCGTTTATTTAATATAACACCCGAACCATATTTTTTAACGTATTTACTTTTAACGTATTTTTTTTAAGTAAGTTAAATTAATTGTTTTAAATAAAAATAAAAAATAAATAAATTTTATTATACAAACTTGAATTGTGTTAATATATATATATWTTTTTAATAATTTATGATTTTTTTTAATTATTTATTAATATTTACTTAGCGATTGCAATCCATACGGCAAACGGCACTTCACCTGATCCTGGATTGCGTCCATTATTCACATCATGGGTTAGACTTTGATTATTGGATAACCATTGAAAACATTTGCCGTTTCCAAGCAATGATTGTCGACCGATACCACACTCGGGGACAGTTATGTTCGGATAGTCATACATTTCAATGGTCGACGACCAGACATTTGTGTTGTAGAAACACAACAACAATAATAAGTTTATTATAATTATTTTGCTTAACATTTATTTATAGTTTTTTGTGTGTGTGTGTGTTGTTTATAAATATCTTAATAATAAATATKAAATAATAATAATTAAAATAATAATAAATATACAATAAATATGATTACCAACTGAACTATTATTTTTTAGTTGATTTAAGTAAATAAAAAAATATTTATTATTATTTTTTGGTGTTATTTTCAACTTTTTTTTTTATTACGGTTTCAAATTTATTTAGAAATATCATATTTGTGTAATATAAATATAAACAGTTTTTTTAATCAAAATTTAAAAATAATAAAAATAACTCTATTGTTTTTAACAAAAAAATTGTTTAAAATATAAATATTTTTTTTTCGTAATTTTAGTAAAAATAAAGTGTGTATAACATAATTGAATATTTTATACGATTAATTGAATTGTAATTAATTTAGAAAATAATAACATTATAATTACATAAACAATTAAAATATTAATTTTATAATTATATAGCAAATATGTTAACTTGGATTTTGTTTGTGTTATTAATTTATTAGCAGTTTTTAAACCACAATATATTAATTGATACGAATAACAACTTAAATAGGTCTCTAAAACTACTAATACTAGTAGCCATTCATGTGATAATAATAATAATAATAATAATAATAATAATAATATAATATCACTGATAAGGATATTAGTAGAAATCCTATTGAATCAAATGATACAAAACATTTATACTAATCATATCACTACTGATGACAGTATCCATGATATGTCTGGCCATTGGTTTGGCCATCAATTAYAGAGATCAACACATCCGYGTAATAATAGACGTGTTATCCATTGGATTAGTATTGGACGGGAATTAATGAATACATCGTAAAATACAAATATTATTATATAATAAACTAAATATAAATAAATTAAATATATATATATATATATTTGTAATTTATAATTAAATCAATGTTTTTGCTTTATAAGATAAAATTTATATTTTATTTTTAAAAAAATTATATTAAATATATATATATAATTTGTTTAATATTATAATTATTATTTTTAATTTATGACAATACTAATAATATTACTATTTAACTATAAAAATTATTTAAAAAAAATAAAATGTAATACTGTATATCTTTTTTTTAATAATAATATATATATTAATAAAAAAATAATTTAATTATTATAGAGTTATCTATTATTATTAATAATAAATTAATTTTTTTTAAAACAATTATTTTAATATAATATAATAAAGTAAGAAAAGTAAATAATTATATATTTTGCTAAAAATGTATTTAATGTTTATAACAATTAACTATTACTACCTAAAAATTATTTTAATAAATGTTTATTAAATAAAATAAWAAAAAATATAAGCTATTATTAGAAAAGTTCATTTATATAAATTGTATATAATATATAKATAACTATWGAATTTAATTAGTATTACTTGAAGCAAATATTTGATTATTTAATTTTTGATATTTAAATAAAAAAATTAATTTTTAGTAATAGTATCAGTAATCCATTCAGTAAAATATGAAACCCTATTAAATATACCAAAAACACGATCATTGATCTCATGACATTTGCTACGGCTAAAAGTGCGGCCATGATTTATGCCAATCAATACGGCCCTACCGTTTACATACTGATACAATGGACCACCAGAATCACCCTAATTAGGTATAGATAGATAAATGATTATATACTGTACACATACACAACACACACACACACACACACACATACACACACACACATATACACACACATATTCACACACATATACACACACACACACACATATACACACACATATACACACACATATACACACACATATACACACACATATACACACACATATACACACACATATACACACACATACACACACATATACACACAAATATACACACACAATACACACACATATACACACACATATACACACACACACACACATATACACACACATATACACACACATATACACACACACACACATACACACACATATACACACAMATATACACACATACACACACATATACACACACATATACACACATACACACACACACATACCGGACATGAAAAGGTGCCGTTATATTGAGGATATCGTTGGCCGAGTATAGCTTGCCGCCAATAGTCTATCCTATTATTTACAGCTGCCTTAATCCTAATATAACCCATACGTAGTCTATTACTGTACTGGGTATGGGTTACTGCACCGTAACCGGCCATCAATGCCAACTCATCCCTATCATTGTGTTGGTTAGCCATTGGCAAACAAATACCGTTTAGTGTCCGATATGGATGTAGTAGTAGTGGTCGTCCAACGTTTGAATTGATAAGCGGTAAGTCAGCTGTTAGTTTAATCAGTGCCAGATCATTAGCCGGGTGCCGATTAGATTCATACATATAATGTATAACTGTTTTTTCAACATCATAACCATCATCGTTATAACCGATAAAATTGATAACTAATTTGCCCGGGTAGATTTTTAGATCATTAACTGGATATTGGCTTGTATTATTTTTGTTGTTGTTGTTGTTGTTGTTGTTGTTGGTTAATAAAAAATAAATAATAAATATATAGATTATGTAATAATGATTAACATGTATAGTATTACAGTATAACTTATTATATATATGTGTATAGTATACTAATATTTGATTTTTTAATTAAAATAAATTGTAAATAATTTATAATTTATAATATACTCACATATATATACAGTATATTAGGGTTGCTAAAGGTTATCGATTTCAGTGGGGGAGGGGGGTATATGGATGGGGTAAAATGGCATAAATCTCAAAAAAGCTTGGGGGTATATATATATATAGGGAGGGGGGATGAACACATTTTTTAAATTTTTTGCTAGGGGCCCCTAACTTTTCAGGCTTTTCAGGGGGTGGGGGTGGGTGGGTAAGAGCTTTAACCCTACCCCTCCCCCCATTTAGCAACCCTTATATATATATATATATATATATATATATATATATAAATTATGATTATATATTTACTAAACTACGTGAGCGCTTGTCATTATCCATCGTTTATTTATTATAACACCCGATCCATATTGTCTACTAAATTAATTTTTGTTTTTTATTAATTAATTTTAATTTTAAAAATTTATTATTACTTTAATTAGTTATTATTTTATTATAAAAAAWWTTTATGGTTTAGCATAATATTAATTGTTTTTGTTTTTGTCTGTATTTACTCTGTCCGCTGAATCCATACGGCAAACGGCACTTCAGCCGGTCCTGCATTGCGACCATTATTCACATCATGGGTTAGACTTTGATTATTGGATAACCATTGAAAACAATTGCCGTTTCCAAGCAATGATTGTCGACCGATACCACACTCGGGGACAGTTATGTTCGGATAGTCAACCATTTCAATGGTCGTCGACCAGACATTTGTGTTGTAGAAACACAACAACAACAATAAACATAAGTTTATTATAATTATCATTTTACTAATCATTATAATTGTTTGTTGTTGTTGTTGTTAATAAATATCTAATAATTAATATAAAATTTATAATTTCTATATTATTTTATTTAACATTTATTTAAATATTTTATTATGTGTTCATAACACTAACACTAATAGTAAATAACAATTATTATTTTATCATTATTTTTTGGTGTTATTTTCAGTTACAGTTATGGTTTCAAATTTATTTTTATAAAAATATAATATTTATGTATTAATTTCATATATAGATATAAAATAGTATCAAATTTTTTTTTTCATATATTTTTAATAGATTATGTAAAATAAATAATAAAAGTTTTTTCTATCAAAAAAAAAATGTATTTAATGTTTATAACAATTAACTATTATTATTATTATTATTACCTGAAATAACATGTATATTATATTTTTTTAAAAAAATATATAAGCTTTTATTATAGAAAACTTTAATTAATTAATTAGTTTTATGTTTTTTTTATAATTAATTATTATTAATAATATCAGTAAAATATAAAAATCCTAAATTTTTTAAAAGAAAAATTAGTTTAAAAATTTTTACTTTTTCTAGAAATATTTAATTAATTAGTAAATTGAAAATGAAATAATCTATAAATAAATGAATAGAAAAAATACTAATGATTTCGTAATTTTATAAAAATTTTTAGAAATTAATTTATTTATTTTTATAAAAAACAGATTTTTTATCTAAATAATTAAAATCAAAGTTTTTTTTTAATAAAAACAAAAAAATTAATTAAAAATAATAATCGTTTTAATTAAAAAAAAAAAAATATTACTAAATATAATTAGTCGACATTTAATTATTATATAATTTAAAAATTTTTTTTAAACATCTTAAAAATAATATATAAAAATTATTTTTTAGCTAATATGATAATAATTATTTCAACTACCTTGCTACTATTGTTTAGAGCTATTGTATTTTCAGCAGCAACAATAATAACAGTAAGTGTACATGATGAAATATCCAATACTTTAACTTTTTAACCCACTTTTCACACACACACACACACACACCCACAGCCTAACCCACACCCACCAGCACTACCCCCATTCCTACCACAGCAATCATCAGATTTACCTGAAAATTCATATTCAAAATTGTTATGTTTGACGGATAACAACAAATTAATCAATGATTATATCAACTGTCGTACAGAAGTACCCGAACAACAACAGTCAACAAATGTTAAACAATATAATCAAAAAGTAATATAATTTTAATTATTTTATTTTTTTAAATTAAATAACTACTACTACTACTACTACTACCTGTGCGTTGTTGTTGACATTGAAATATATTATTATTATTATTATAATAGTTTAAAGGATTATAAAAGGTTATTGACTTGGATTAGTAATAAGCTAACTGTCCATTAGTTTGATAAAACAGTAGATTTTTATGTTATATATATATTGTATGTTTTTATTCAATATCTGTATATACACTACACATTGTATATAATAATGATAAGCATTTTTGATGATATGATATTATATTTCTTTAATTTTTTTTATATATTTATATATTTTTTTATTATACAGTATTTTGTTGAGGATATAATACTATATAATATTTAGACAAATTTTTATTGTGAAATAAAAATTTGATCAAGCACAGTTTATTTTTCTATTAAAACATATCAACAAAAAAAAATGTTACCCAGATTATTTTTTGTAATTTACTGTATATATATATATATATATATATATATATATATATATATATATATATATATTGAGGGAAAGTTCCAACATTGACCGGTCTATAGACCGATCAAATAGTCAACAATACTTTCCTCCAAACTTATATCAATGTAATCAACATATTATCAATGAGTCTCCAAACCATTATTACTCTGAGACTCAATACTATTAATATTCATATACTAAATGCTTACTTTAAAACCTCTATAAATACATGTGTTTAATACACATTTAATTTAGTCAATTGTTAGCTATCATAGAGTTAACATTACTCTTTATTTATACTTATTTATATTACTTATTATTTTCTGTATATTGTATTATATTTAATAAAGTTATTTATTTGATTAACATTTGTGTTCAATTGGATAATTTAACTAATTATGAGGGAATGATCGACTACCGATCGGTCATACCGGTGACCACACCATATGATCGGTCTTAGATCGATCCCAATTATCCCTCATTTGGCGCAGTCGACATCCGAACCTTTCGAGGAACTCATACACACAGTGCGTCATATTATATCGACATTCAAATCAAGTCATATACTTTAGTGCTTCTACACCAACATCTCAGCCATGCCTTTGTTACGAAACGGCAAAAAGACAATCACGAATACAATCGCAAGTAGACGTGAATATGAAAAGAACATTAGAGACACTGTTCATAATGCAGTAGTTTCGGGGATTAATAGTCTTGTAGGACTAGATCCTAAAAGCCATTCAACACCTAACATCCAATCTCAACACATACCGTCTACAAGTGCTCAACAAACATATCAGAGGTCCAACACAAACATTTTCGATGATATAAACTTGACGACCGATCGACCGGTCGATCAACAAACCTTATCATTCAAGTTATATCAACGAAATGGACGTCCATTGTGTGATCGATTCTCTGGCGGTTCATCAAAAATTACTGTGCAATCATGGCTTGACATTTACGAAGCACTAACACTTGATTTTCCCGATTATGACAAAATTATTGCTCTCACGAAACACCTATCAGAAGATGCACTCGAATGGATGGCCAAAGATGTCATACCAAAGTTGGCTACTCTCTCATGGCCTGACGTTCGACGAAAAATGATCGGTCGATTTGGTGATTCGGTAAACGATCCCTTACTCGACGCATCAAAACGGAAACTCAAGGCTAACGAAACTGTCATCGAGTATTACCACGCAATGCGTAAACTCTTGGACAGGGCTCGACTACCCGAACATCAACAAGTTTCGCTATTAACTAACGGTTTGCCCGAAGCATTCAAGATAGCTATGGCCGCCGCACAAGTAAAGGATGCCGAAACATGGCTTAATGTTGCGAAGGCAGTCGAGGCCGCAAAAGCATACAACAAGCATCGAGAGCATACCAATACCATCGATGAAGACGGATCGGTCTTATCGTCAGATAAAAGACATAAGGACCGGTCAAAGAAAAAGTTTGATAAGAAACCAAAACAACCATCATCTCCGTGCAGGTACTGTACAGCTATTGGTAAGACTGAATATCATTGGCATAATCAATGCCCAATAAGACCACAACCATCAGCTACGACTACAGCAAATCCTGGATCATCACAACTAGCCATTACTAACACTCTTGAAGAATGCAATGTAATTGGCGATAATGGATATCTGTATTACGCAATCTGGATCGGTCAGGACAAGGTCTACGCTTTTCTCGACACTGGAAGCACATGTAGTGTTATGTTTCGAGAAACAGCCGATCGATTTGGATTGAAACCTATTATTAATTCAGACATCAACATCAAGACATTAAGCGGCTTTAAGCGAACCATTGGCCGAGTGGACGTCGACGTACGGATCTTCAAAAAGGTTCGGCAACTTTCATTTCATATCGTCGATGATTTTGAACACAAGGTTCTCATTGGTATCGATGCCGGCTATGCATTCAAGCTAACACCTCGATTTGATGTCGGAAAACCATACATACAAACCCATTATCTTAATCATACGATATCTACAGTTCCATCACCATCTCTAACAATCAATCAGATCGGCAAGACCGGTCTCGATGGATTGTTAGGATCGATCGATGTTTTCTGTAGACATGACAAGGATGTCGGTAAATTCAAGACAGCCGAACACGAGATTCGACTGAAACCCGACGCCATACCATACCATCAACGATTTTTTCGATTATCTCCCGAACGCGAAGCCATTATGAGAAAACATACGGACGAAATGCTTGAAACAGGCCTAATCAGAAAGTGCCGCAAAGGTTCACCATGGGCCAGTCCTATGTTTTTGGTTGATAAGCGCACTGGTGGCTACAGACCTGTCATTGATTATCGCAAATTAAACGCAATGACCATCAGTGAACGCGAACCTCTACCTATTATACGTGACCTCATTGACAAATTGTCGGGATCGGTCTACTTTACAACACTTGATGTTGCATGGGGATATTGGCAAATACCATTATCTCCTAGATCGGTTGAATGCACCGCTTTTGTCACACCATACGGACAGTTTGAGTTTACAGTTTTACCATTCGGATTAAAAAACGCCGGCAGTGTATTTCAACGTGAACTCCGACATATACTACAAGATTTTCACGGCAATGGTGTGGAACAATATCTCGATGATATTGTTATCCATACTAAAACCGAAAAAGAACACTTGGATCTATTGGAACGAGTCCTAAAACGCCTGACCGATCACGGAGTGCGCCTAAGACAAGAAAAATGCAAATTTATGGCCACCGAAATCGAGTTTCTTGGACATGTAGTTTCATCAGATCAAGTGAAGCCATCACCATCTAAATTGAAATCAGTAACTGAGTTTCCAACACCGAAAACTAAAGTTGCTGTACAACAATTTATAGGTTTGTGTAATTTTTACCGTACATTTATTGACAAGTTTAGCGACATTGCCGCACCACTTACGGCACTCACATCACGCAAAACTGATTTCACATGGGATCGGTCACATCAAGAAGCGTTTGACAAACTCAAGGAAGCGCTTTCGACCTCACCGGTTCTCGCCATTTACGATCGGTCCCTTCCAATTGAATTACACACCGACGCATCAGCTGTGGGTCTAGCAGGCATACTAATGCAAAGAGACTCACATAACAAACCACATGTCATCTCCTACTGGTCTCGTAAAACCAACTCAAGCGAGTGTAAGTACTCCTCGGCACAACTCGAATGTCTCGCAGTGGTAAACGCTGTCGAACACTTCCGAGTTTACCTGGAAGGCAGTCACTTCACAGTCTTCACCGATTGCTCCGCTCTGAAATGGTTATTATCGATACCAAATCCATCATCAATGCTGTACCGTTGGTCTGTTCGACTTTCAGCATTTGACTACAACGTTCAACACAGGCCTGGAAAGACAAATCAAGCACCCGACGCATTGTCTCGCAATCCAGTGTCACATCATATTGAGATCGGTCAAATCGCTCTCAATCAACATGAAATCGATGATTATGATATACGTTTGCCAGTCATCCAGAGAAACGGTATTTCATATATCATATATAACAATAAAGAACGCATCATAGTACCGAGATCTCTCATCGGTGATTTGCTTAAACAAGCACATGATAATCATAATCACCCCGGTACTGATAAAACCATTAGACTCATAGCATCACAGTATTGGTGGCCAAACCGTAATATAGAGATAATTAAATATGTCAAGTCATGTCATACTTGTCAAACGGTTAAACCATCAAATCAAGCATCACTTGGTACCAGTCGACCTATCGAGACACCGACCGGTCCAAACCAGCTATGGGCCATGGATTCAGTTGTGGTGGGGACTGCCGCCAATAATTCGTCCGCAAAATACATCCTCACTATTATAGACCATCATTCGCGCTACATTTGGGCATCAGCTGTTAAAAGCAACACATCTGAAGCTGTCATTAATGCGCTCATTAATGTTTTTAGAGCCGCAGGTCAACCAGCCGCTCTACTGACCGACAATGGATCCAACTACACGTCAACACGGTTTAGACATTTCTTGGAAAGCCGTAAAATCAAACACTTATTATCGCCACCATACCATCCGCAAGCCAACGGTCTATGCGAAAAAGCAAATGGATTGATCAAAACTGGTATCAGCTTAGCTCTGGCCGATCGATCCAACCGTAAATGGTCTTTGCATTTGGAAAAGGTGGTCGAATCACTTAACAATCAACATCATAAGGTTACCGGATTTGTACCAAGATACGTACAATTTGGACATGTACCGACCGGTCAGCCGAATCCGACAGTCAGTATTGAAGAAGCGAGACGACAAGTGACCGATCGATCTCGTGCTGCGCAAACCAAGAGGTCACAGTTACATAATTCTAAACACCAACGATCCAACTTCGATATCGGTGACTATGTCAGATACCGAATCCCAGACAATCATCCATCAAGATCTAAGTTTACGGCCTCATATCTCGCTCCATGTATTATTACCGAAAAACTTGGCGCCGAAACTTTCGACTAAACCAACTGGACGTAAACGATAATACTATCATTAAGTCGTTTATAGCTCATTCATCAGCTTTACGATCATATCATTGGCGTGATGGTCAATACCCGCCAACACAACAACAATACATTCAAGTCCAGTCATACAACAACAATGACAACAACAATCAATACAAGTATTTGCAACCATTTGTCACAACAACACCGAGATACCTGTCCTCACGTAGCCCGTCGCCAATTAATTCAAATATGGTTATGGGTCCAACTAGTGGCCCGACCTTCAACGGGTGGGAATTGAGGGAAAGTTCCAACATTGACCGGTCTATAGACCGATCAAATAGTCAACAATACTTTCCTCCAAACTTATATCAATGTAATCAACATATTATCAATGAGTCTCCAAACCATTATTACTCTGAGACTCAATACTATTAATATTCATATACTAAATGCTTACTTTAAAACCTCTATAAATACATGTGTTTAATACACATTTAATTCAGTCAATTGTTAGCTATCATAGAGTTAACATTACTCTTTATTTATACTTATTTATATTACTTATTATTTTCTGTATATTGTATTATATTTAATAAAGTTATTTATTTGATTAACATTTGTGTTCAATTGGATAATTTAACTAATTATGAGGGAATGATCGACTACCGATCGGTCATACCGGTGACCACACCATATGATCGGTCTTAGATCGATCCCAATTATCCCTCAATATATATTATAATTGGTTTACATTATTATTATTATTGTTATAGATGTTAGAAATTTATGCCGACTGTGCCATTGGTCGCCAACATATACTTAACGCCTATAGAAATGTCCATCAATTTGACAAACCATTTGTCAAATCGACATTACTTATCCTATGTTCCCAATCATACAATCAATGTTTCAATCAGAAAGTTATTGATTAAAAATTTGAAAATCAAAAATTAATTCAAGATTTGATTAGTGATGAAAAAATTGCCAATAAATATGCGTTCACTAAAACTAATGATGAAGTTATTGTAAGTATTTTTTTTTTGAAAAATATACCTAAAAAATAATTTTAGTTTAAAAATAATTTTATTTTTATGTAATTTGTATAATATATTTAATATATTATTTTATAGATGATTATGTTATGTATGATAGTTATGATAATATTATTATTAGTTTTATTTAATTTTAACATATTTTTTTATATATTAATTATTAAATTATTTATTTTTTTTAGTCATGTCGTAAAAGATTACTTGGTTTGTAGTTTATGTTAATTTATATAATTTATAAAAAAACATATATATATATATACAGTATATATTATAAATATATATATATATATATATATAAATTATTAAATTGATGACCATGGTAACGTTACAGAAATTTTTATCTGTAATACTGTAATATTGTTTTAAATTTCATATTTAATATAATTTTTAAATACAATTATCACCATACATATAAAAATGTATTAAAAATATATTATTTTTTAACAATAATTTTTTTTATTATTTTTTAATTTGATATACAAATTTCGCTTTTTATATATATATATATATATAATTTGTAGTAAATATGAAACCGTAAACTAAATAAAAAAAATTTTTTTTTATTAATTGTATACAATATTCACTAGTTTTAATAATAATAATTAATATTAGATTATTTCATATTAATTATTAGATTACAGCAATTTTTTTTAATATTGTCACGATTTTTATACAACTTAACAGTCAAATAGACTTAACAATATATTTTTTATTTATTTAAAAAAAAGAGTTATTTAATTATTTTTAAACAATTTGATAAAATAAAATAATTGTTATTATTATTATTATTTTATACATAAATATTATATCTTTAAATAAATCTGAAACCATAACTTAATTTGAAAATAACACCAAAAAATAATGATAAAAAAATTTTATTTTATTATTACTTAAATTTACTAAAAAAAATTAATAGTTCAGTTAGTGATTATAATTATTGTATATTAATTATTGATATTATTAAATATTTTATATAATATTAATTATTAAATATTTAAAAACATAGAAAAAAAACTATAAATAGATGTTAAGTAAAATAATTATAATTAATTTGTTGTTGTGTTTCAACAACAACACAAATGTCTGGTCGACCATTGAAATGGATGACTACCCGAACATAACTGTCCCCGAGTGTGGTATCGGTCGACAATCATTGCTTGGAAACGGCAAATGTTTTCAATGGTTATCCAAATCCAATCAAAGTCTAATACCACCGCATGAACTAAATAATGGACGCAATGCCCGATCGGGTGAAGTGCCGTTTGCCGTATGGATTGCTATCTCTAAGTAAATAACAATCAAAAAAAAATAATTTTAATTAATATTATTATTAAAAATTTTGTATAACTAATAAAAATTTTTGTTTAACTAAAAATAAAAATTAAATTAAAGTAAATATATTAGAAACTATGGATCGGGTGTTATACTAAATAAACGCTGGATATTAACTGCCGCTCACATTATTTAGTAAATATAATTTTATTTAAATTATATATATATATATATATATATCAGGGTTAAGCAAGGTTTTGGATTTTAGGGGGGTAGACCGGGATAAAATTTGCAAAATTCTCGAAAAATCTTGGGGGGGGGGTATTGTGTGGGGTAAGATTTTTATTGCATTTTTAAACGGCAATTTTTTTAAAAATCCAAAAATCAAGGGGGGGGGTCAAGAGAAAATTCCCTAATATTCCCGAATATTCCCATGTAAATTCGATAAAGTTCCCATAAGTTCCCGTATAAATTCCCAGGAAAATAGGTAAAATTTCCAAAAATACAAAAAAAAACTTAAAAATTAAGAAAAACTTAAATTTTAACAAAAAATAAATATTTTTAAAAAAAAAATTTTAAAAATTAATAAAAACTTAAATTTAACAAAAATTAAATAATAATGTATTTAATATTTAAAAATAGTTGATAAAAGCATTAATGATAAACTATGAGTTTTTTTAGTATTTTAGTAATTTTAAACTTTTAAAATAATTAATTTTTTAAATAATACTTAATGTTTATAGTTTATAGATATATATATTATTTTTTAATGTTATTTTTAAATAAATACTGACTGAATACTAATTATAAAATTGAAAATATTTTAAATTTTTTAGTTAAAATTTTAAAAATTGTTAAAAAAAACCTTGTAATATAAGTATTTATTGTTTTATTAACTTTTTAAACTATCTTAAACATCTATTTAAGTTGTAATATGATTACTCTTTTCAACAAATAAGTAATTTTTAATTTTTTAGTTTAATATTTTCAATAAATTAATGTTATTTTTAGATGAGTTTTAATGTTATTGCCGAAATTTTAGGGGGGGGGTCATTTCTCCTCGTTTTTAACGACAATTTTTCCCATTTGGTCAAAAAGTCTGGGGGGGTAAAATCCCAAAATCTCTATCTTAGGGGGGTATTTTGGCCTTACCCCCCCTACCCCCTTACTTAACCCTGATATATATATATATAATTTAATTATAAAAATATTTTTAAAAAATGTAGTATAAAATAAGTTTTATTTTAAATAAAACTTATTTAATGATTTCAATTAATATTTATTACTTATATTAAATTAATATTTATTACTTATATTAAATTATATATATATATATTTTTATTATATATTACAAATTAGCTACAAACAAATAAGCCTAATTCCAGTTAGTGATATAAAAATCTACCCGGGCAAATTATTTATCAATATGGATGGTCATAACGATGATGGTTATGATGTCGAAAAAACAGTTATCCATCCTAACTATGTATCTAATCGGCACCCGGCTACTGATCTGGCACTGATTAAACTAACAGCTGACTTACCGCTTATCGATTCAAATGTTGGACAACCACTACTACTACATCCATATCGTACACTAAACGGTATTTGTTTGCCAATGGCTGACCAACACAATGATAGGGATGAGTTAGCATTGATGGCCGGTTACGGTTTAGTAACCGATACCGAGGATAGTAATAGACTACGTATGGGTTATATTAGGATTAAGTCAGCCGTAGGTAATGAGACTGACTATTGGCGCGTAGCTATACTCGGCCAACGATATCCTCAATATAACGGCACCTTTTCATGTCCGGTATGTGTGTATATGTGTGTGTATATGTGTGTGTATATGTGTGTGTATATGTGTGTGTATATGTGTGTGTATATGTGTGTGTATATGTGTGTGTATATGTGTGTGTATATGTGTGTGTATATGTGTGTGTATATGTGTGTGTATATGTGTGTGTATATGTGTGTGTATATGT